GATACAATTCTAGCAAAATTTTACGAAAATATACAATTGAGAATGAAATAATCGATTAATACAGTAAGCATAGAAACAGTCTATAAAGTAATATTAACAGTTTTCGGTATTCGGTATACTTCAATATTTGATTTTATAATAAAATATCTTTCCCGGAGTGTCTACAATATATATACAAGTGTAATTTAGTTGCTCAATTTTGAAAAATAATTGAATAATATTATGTGTATAAAACATTAATATTAACAATTTTTTAGTATACTTAAATGTAAAATGAATTTAAGTCTTCAGTACTGCTAACATACATAGAATTATAAAAGAATGAAATCGATAGATAAAAAAGATAAGATAGAAAGAAATAAATAACATGAGACCAGAATCCACTGTAACGAATTAAATTATTCAACAATTTAATCTTTTTGATGCTAATAAGCATCTATAAAAATCTTCTGGCCTCATGTCAGAGCTGTGTTTTAAGATCGACAGTTTATGCGACGCACAATTTGTATGTGACTTCATATTGTAACAGTAAAAATTACGAGTATTACACACTAACATCCGTGTCGGCTCGCAAAGGCATTATTGAGATATTTATTTTTAAATTTCTATTTATATGTAATAGTTATTTTTTGCAGTATTTGGTAATATGTTTCCAAGGAAATAGTAATCCTGCTGGTGTATGCACGGTTAAGTCTCTCTTCTGAAAAATTAAGGCAAAAAATTACCACTTAATGCAATGAATATAGCAAATTACCAAAACAAAACAAAACATCATACTTTACATTAATAAAACATTTTATTCTCAAAGATAAAATAAATAAGGGACAATTACGCTTTGGTATTATCATTTATAAACATAAAATAAAGAACATTTATCATTCTCAAACATAAAACAAAGAATAGTTATCATTTCCATACATAAAATAAAGAACATACAGTTATCATTCTCGAACATAAAACAAAGAATAGTTATCATTTCAATACATAAAATAAAGAACAGTTATCAGTCTCAAACATAAAACAAAGAATAGTTATCATTTCCATACATAAAATAAAGAACAGTTATCAGTCTCAAACATAAAACAAAGAATAGTTATCATTTCCATACATAAAATAATGAACAGTTATCAATCTTTGAAATA